TTTTTTTTGGATACATTCTATCATGGTTAATGGGATTTGTAATGAATAAGTAGAAATAAATCTCATGTACATTTTTGCCTAATTGGGATTTGCATTTCCGTACGCATATAGCTTTCAATATTTATGCCTTATTTTATTTTATTTTATTTTATTTTATTTTATTTTGGTATTTGAAATCCATTTTTGTTCTTTTTTATTTTTTTCTCATTAAATATCAATATAATTTTATTTTTTATAAAACTTAATAGTTTAATGTTTCTTTGTTGTTTACTGATCGTTATTTTTACATCCAATATATGACATCCATATTGTACATATAAAATAGTGAACAAATAATTATTGTACTGTATAATAAAACTTAAGCTTATAACAATCAATATTGATTTAAAATATGATGATGAAATTACAACGAAAATATATTCCTATAGAATTCCAATAACAATTTCAATGGATATTTCAATGTTATTATTGTCGTCGTAATTTCTCAATGGATCTTAACAAAAATTCCAGCAACAATATTCCATTAGAATGAGTATTCTTTTAGATTTTGACAATTCCAACAATTGAAATATAGGTGAAAAAAAAAACAATGGAAATTGCATATTATAAAAGAAATTCCTAGTAATAAACCGCTAGAAAAGTAGCCCATTCAATTCCTTCAAAAATCCCATTGGGATATTTTCATTCAATTTTTCGTTGGAATCAATCTAATGAAAGCTATATCATTGGAATATCCGTTGAAATTTCCATTGAAAGATATTACCATTGTTTCGTTAGAATATATCAATTTTTTAGTAGCATAAACTTATCTCATAAAATGAATTTTAAAATGTCTACTAGATAAATGTTCACAACATACAGAATAGTACAAACAAGTATCAACCAACAAGTAGTCAGTATATTCATAATATATATCTTTATTAATTATAATAGTGAAACGAACTTCGCTCGGTTTTGATTCGTGCTAACACAACTGGATATACTTTCTTCTACTTCGACAAACCTACAAGAACTCAATACCGGAAGGGGGTTTCTTCTACCTCCTCAAATAATTTCTTCTACCTCCTAAAATAATAAAATAATTTATAATTACCCATAAAGATTAAACTTTGCAACTTTTAAATAATATGTCCGTTTAAATTAAATATAATTTCAGAGATTTAATTTTATTTAGCATTTGATTTTTTATTAGAATACTTATCACAAT